GTTCGCTTGGGAAACCGAGTGAAGCGGGTTCAAATCCCGGGTCTCGCATCTGATATTTTCATGTGCGAATCATTTTTTACATGATTACCACTTGCCTTACTGTGAAGGAAAACATCGTGAGGAAACCTGCATGTCTGAGAGAACCTAGCATGTTTTCGAAAGACATGTGAAGTCCGCCAACCCACACTTGGCCAGCGTGGTCGACTACGGCCTCATCCCCTCGTATTGAAGGGAGGTCTGTGCCCAACAGTGGTACATTAAAAAGGGGTGAATACAATCATACCTATCACTAAGACATTGAAATTACAAATCTTATAAGTATTTAATTACACAACACATATGTACACGTAATTATTACTACACAAGTCATGCCCGCGTGGAATGTTGTAAGAATCCTAGCAACTATCACTGATTGATAAATCTCTCCATTTATGGTCAATATATTTTATTTATGGTCAATATATATTTTTTTACATATTTCGAGAATCGAATCCCCTGGCTTCGGCACAGTATTTGAGATATAAACTTCTATGATAATTGTACTTAGATACAAATAACTCTTGAATCAGTTGAATTGAACAAAATCGAATGTAAAGACGGCATATTTCATATATGAATAATTTTAACGTTGTTTCAGGTATCGATATCATGCACATATGGAACAGTTTATGTCTACAATAATTTAATCGAAATTTTAGTCAAGTTTATTTGTGTCGATAATGATATGAGTCCTACATCCATATATAGATACAATTGTGAAAACGTATTATATTCAATGCTTGCGTTTAGCTTTTGTATTCGTCCTACACGTGTAGCTATCTCTTGTACAGGCAAACTTTTATATAATCTGTGATAAAATACAGTATTAGATATCGAGATCTAAAAAATATGTATTGTTCGGAAATCTGTAGGTTAATGGATCGGCACGTGCTTGTCTTATTCGTCTAACATACGTTCGTCTCATTGTGATGGTCATTTATACCGGATGACGAGGTCTTTTTTACTGATTACTCACCCTCGCTCCGCTCGGGTACGTCCCTAGTTGCGTTTTAACGTTTAGCTCAGGGAGAGATATTTTCCCGCAGTAGCAAGAAGTCGCAAAAGTATCCTATATGTTAACGCGGATATATCATACCAAATTTCACCAAAATCTATCCAGTGGTTTTTTCGTGTTGCGGCTGCAAACAGACAGACAAAAATTAAAAAAAAAACTATAGATTTGGCCTTTGTATCGATAGTATTGTCTATTTCAATAAAATTTTCCAAAAAAATATTTAATGTACAGATTCGGCTTAGATTTTTTATTATATCTATAGATTTGACATGAACAAACACACACACGCACACACACACACCTATTAAGAGTATGATGGGTCAATCAAAGTTTAAAGCCACAAGCTTTAGGCTGCAAACACTGTAACAAATAAAAGCTTTTAGCGTAAAAGCTTGGCTATCTCGGGAATATTTGAGCATTATATTATTGTTTTATCATCTTAAATATATCCCTTGTGTCTCTCCTATCCCTTGTCTGTCATGTTACACTGTTACAAAAAAAGTTCTTGCTGTAAAGAATAATTTCTCTCGTTCCAACAAAAGAGCTTATTAAAAAAACTTTCACTATTACGGTCCACCCACACTATAGTGCCGACCACAGTCCATTCTCGGTTCGATATCGGTCTGGTAAAGTATTTTTATATAAAAAAAACGTTGTTATAATAGGATTGTTACCGATACTTGATTTTTCTGATAGTGTGATACAGTCATTGTTTCTTGAATAAAAATATTTTACCAGACCGATACCACCATACTGTGGATCGGGCCTCAGTTTGCTCTGTCTTTGAATATATGGCACTTTTTCTTCAGGTTCATAAGTTTACAAGTTCAGTTGCATGCAAAAATTAATAAGATACTAATAATAATTATTTTCATCTAAACGATACTGTCTTTACAGTCATTTATGGAGTGGATAGATAACACTTTATTTTAAACTTTTGTTCCGTAATAGCATTTGATATCGGAACCAGCTATAGAAAAAATATTTTTTTTACTTCAGAAGTAGGTCTTCATGTATTTGCGATTATGGTATCGTTACAATAAAATTTGTAACAAATCTTTTTTTTAATAATAAATAGTAATAAATCAAAATGTTTGTAAAAGAGTATGTTTTAAAGTTACACAATATTTTTTTTCTAACAATATCATAAATATAAGAGAAATTACAAATATCTATATAAAAATCGTTACTTATACTTCAGATCTTGTGGAATACAAACACATAAATGTGTCACAAAGTCTTAATAAGCACTTCCTTGTTAACTGTAAGCCATGCATTGCTCCAATACATCTGTAATAGCAATAATTTTATCTACAAAGTATATATCGTAATAACTATGATCCCAATAGAATAGCAAAAAAATATCGACAGCTTCTCTGTTTTAAACAGACAGAAGGAACTACTCACTAAGTTACCTACTCGACTAATTGAGTAATTTTCTATAATCTATACTAATATTATAAAGAGGTAAAGTTTGTGAGTTTGTGAGATTGTGACGTAATCTCTGGTTCTACTGAACCGATTTAGATAAAATTTGGTAAGAAGATAGTTTGAGACCCTGGAAAGGATATAGGATACTTTTCATCCCGGAAATCACACCTTAAAGGGGTGAAAATGGGGATGAAGCGAGCGAAGCGAGGGTGAGTCGCTAGTTAATTAATATAACTTATACCTCAATTTTTAGTGTTCATTCCATATCAATTCAATTCTTTATTATTTGTTTTTTAGGCGTGCCAGTTGGACCCAGACTACTTCGCCAACGTCGTGTTCGTGTAGAACGTCATTCCTTATCAACATTAAGTAAAAAAATTTGATTGATTTCTTTAAGGTTTGTCCTTTGAAAGGTGAGTGGTTATTTATTATTATTTCGCATTTATCTATAAAGATTTTTTATTTAAGTCATAATATTAATATAAATAAATCCTACGACAAAAAACTTATGAATCTGAATAAAATGAAGATAATTGATATTTCTTATACAAAAACAAAATTTTATCATCTTTTTATTCGATTCATTATTTATTCAGTTATTCAAATCCCACGTTCCTAATCTAGAATTTTATATTCGGATCAGATATCATAATATAAAAATTAAAGAATATTTTACATGACTATTTACTATACCACCGCGCCGTTGGGACATAATCTGCTTACTTCATCTTAGGTCACTGGTTCATTATAAAATTATCGTTTATATTTTACTAGCAGAACCCGCGGCGCTCGCTTCGCTTGCGCTAAAACTCATCCCCTATTTTACCCCTTATGGGATGAATTTTGAAAAATACTAAAACACGTATTTATTTAATTGTATTGAAGAGCATTAATACCAAGTTTCAAGTAATTCTAATCATAAATATTTTTTTGGTTTGTATTTATAACGTGTTTCTCCGTAGCAATGAGATAATCTCCGCGGTAAAAAGTAGCCTATGTCACTGTCCAGCCGCCCAACTCTCTACACACAAAAAATCAAGCAAATCCGTCACTCCGTTTCGACGTGAAAGAAGGACAAACAAACAAACACTCTTTCACATTTATAATATTAAGTATGGATTTAAACGGTGTATGAAAATAAAATGTAAGACTAATCATAAGTAACTTCATAAGAGAAGGTCTATAGTTATTTTATTTATAGTACTCGATTTAAAAAAAAAGTTTTTTGATTTAAATCGATTATCATTAAAAAAATCGAATTTCTACATTATCTTTTCTAATGAATGATCTTTGTTTTAAGAGCGATGCCTTATTAAATTTAAAGAAAAACTTACCCTAACAGCAAAAATATTAATAACAACTTAGCTTATGTTTAGAAAGCTTTTAATGAAATTTTATTCCTTAGTAGATTACAGTATCGAAGACTCGAATATTAATTTTGCCGAAAGTGTAAGATAACTTTGAAATAGGTCAAGTAAATATTGAATACTAGCCACTCGCCCTCGTTTCGCTTCGGGTCCCTCCTTAGATAATAGGGAATCTATCCCACGGGAACTGTATAGTTTTCCGGGATAAAAAGTAAACTATGTGCTATTCCAGACTATAATCTATCTCTGTGCCAAATTTCATCCAGATCCGTTCAGCCGTTCTGGCGTGAGCCGTGAAACAGTAACAAACATCCATCCATCCATCCTCACAAACGTCCATCCTCAAAAAATTTATAATGTTATAGGGATTTCTATTTTATAATAGGTATGGTAACATATAAATGTCAATTAAATATATTAATTAGTATGCTTTATTTATGCTTACCAAGTGGGTAATCAGGAAGCAATTAACCTTTTACCCAACAATTAAGTTCAGTAGATGTTAATTATGAGAAAGTGATTTATTGTATTTATTATAAAAACCTTAAATAGATTTACGAGAAATCTCAATTTTCCTATAATACTGAAAGTGGATGAAAAAAACTTCACATTATAGCTTTTATATAAAGCGTTATTCAAGGAAACTATTGATTTGATTCTATTTTTACGTAAAGAGAAATATAAAAGTATCAAAGTAAATTTGATTGAAAACATAAAATGTAGGTTATGTGCCTTTGTTTATGAATAAATTGGAGTATCTGTCTTTAATCGAAAAAAAAATCCCTATAATTTGGTTGTTTGTACGATACCAAAGCCAATATTACAGTTAAAAATAACGGATAAACTGTCTGCAACTGTCTCTAACCTCCGGAACGGCTGAAAATATTTTGATGGGACTTTCAATGGAAGGATGATAAACTTTTTAACCCCTAAAAAAAGGTTTTGATTTTTTGAGATTTTTAACATGGGACATATAAGGACCGAAACTATGTCAGATCGCTAGTATAAAATTATAATTAACTTAATCCGAAAATAAATGCTAGCATGAAATGAGATCATCGCTAGATTACGTAATTACATGTTATATTTCAAAAGTCGTTGATGGCTTTAGCTACAATGGGTCAAGGTTTTGGAATAAAAATCCATTATGTCCCATCGATTTTAACATTTTTGGTAGAATTATCATATTTTGAGGTGTGTTTTAACCATTGCCCTGTATCGCGAAGAACACGTATTGAATTTAAAGAAAAAACACAATTTTAGAACTCTAAATTATTATGATTTACAATAATATCTCTTTTCCACGTTATATTATCAAAACTGAATGGGAACATTTATTTTTTATAACACAAATATTTGTTTTTCGTACATAAAATACACTTTATAGAACAACTCTAATCTTAACACGGGGTGAGGGTCGACAGGTCTATGAAGTCGTTATCTAAGATTTGGAGCGATGTACTTTATTTGGCTCGTTGAGACTTAAAATGTGTTTTATTAAAATATAGTGATACTATCTCATTTAAAACTAATTAATAATTTAAGTTTAAAAAGCTCTAGAAGTTATAAAACAAATTACGCAGTCTTTATGAAACGTATGAAGTCATTTTTTCTTCATAAAATATGATTACGTCGAAAAAGCAGAGTTGAAAAGTTTTTTTTAGAATTTGACTTACCAACAACAGTAGGATATTTCGCCATGAAGTCCTGCTTAGCGCGTATCACGTCGAGCCACACTTGATTTTCCAATGGAGTCTCTAATGCAGAGAACACCAAAGCCCCAGTGACGAGATATGTTACATAGAATAGGATGTACATCACTAGAAGGCAAGTAAATCTTGCTTTGCCGAAAATTTTCGTAGTTGCAAACAACGGTTGGAACGGCGGATGCTCTTCTTCGTAAAGGATTTCTCTCGGAACAATCATTTTTTTCGGATATGGAAACAACTGGCTGTGGACGGTCATGTCGTCATCGCTTCTCGCCGAGCTCATACTTCCATACGACTGAATGCGAGGGTACTTTGGCCGATCCACTTTCTTGTCTTCAGGCATTTTGTTTAACAAATTTAAAAATTTAACTCGTTACGCACAAAACTCAAATGTTTATTTAACTTTCGAATAGACCACAATACTGTTAATTATAAACCATTATAAAGAAAACGTTTATATATTTATTAATGCAATCTTCGTCAACTAATTTTTGAATGTCCGCACCGAAGAACCGGAACGGTTAATATTTTGGTCAACTGTACTTAAAGAATCGCTTAGGATGATTAGGCTCGAAAAATAGCGCGAAAACTTCAACTTTAGTATTAAAAAGCAGTTTGGATGTCATCTTGATACATTTTAGTTGAACGAATTGATATAAAATGGCAGTTAACTCTCGGTATACGTGGCCGTTCGGAGCTACGATCGTCACTCGACTGTGGTACAGTTGATGGTATTCAGTTAAAAGTTATCGGTAATCGGTATGCGCACGCGCAGTGGTAGTTTCTTAACGATCTATAATATTAAGTCATTTGATAGATACTTGTTATGATTCTAAATAAGTATTAAATTGCTCTTAAACCAACATGATAAGTTAATTATTTTTCTTATCTTTCTGTTAATATCTTTATAAAGTAGCGTATCAAATGACAAAATAAATTACAATAAAAAAGTTAATTACGTTGGTAGATATAAAGTTTCCCTTTAAAAGTTCAATGGTCTGCAGTTTTTTAATTAAAGTAATAAAAATTAAAGGCGTCTATGAAAGAATTAGAGGATATTGTAATTAAAACCGGGGCCGGAGACATAAGAAATACAAAGATACTTAATAAATATAATTAAAGGGCCTGTCTGTGCTGTGCAAATATGGTTATTTGCATTATAGATACATATATACATAGATATAAATATATCTCAAACAACTATCAAAAATTCTATATGTGTATTTGTGTCTTGTAATCGCTAGAACGACTTGACTAATTGAAAAATAATAATTAAAATCGGTTCACAAACGACCAAAATATCATAGATTTCAACCTCCTTCTCGGAAATTGTTCAAAAACGTTAATTAAACTTGTCACTTGCAAAGTTTATATCAAATACGGAGAAATACACAGTAACAAAGAGTCACGAATCACGATGTATTTATCGCTTTTATTAACATAATACAAATAGTTAATTATTCAGCAAACTTTGTTCCATTAACAATATTGAAGTCATTAAGATATCATACAAGTGCCTTAAAAATTTTCTTTGAATAAGTGTTAAAGTTCTAGCCTAATGGTAACGCGCTTAGGAAACGAGTGAAGCGGGTTCAAATCCCAGGTCTCGGACCTCTGATGTTTTCATGTGCGATTATGTTTTCATCTGATGATTTCCAACATATTACTACTTGTCTTACGGTGAAAGGAAACATCGTGAGGAAACCTGTATATCTGAGAGAACCTAACAAGTTTTCTAAAGACATGTGAAGTCCGCCAACCCGCACTCGGCCAGCGTGGTGGACTATGGTCTGATCCCCATCGTATCGAAGGAAGACCTGTGCCCAGCATCTGTGTCCCGGAACCCAGTGGCAACATCCCAATATCAAAGACAGAGAAATCAAAGAAAAGAAAGATAAGTGTGGGATCAAATTATCAAGTGGTTGATTTAGAAAATAGTAGGACTCATTAGGTTTATCTCTACCGACTTCTAAAAAAGTAGAGGTTCTGTGTTCGTCTGTACGTATGTTTTTTCTTGCATATTATGTTGCGCGATATTTTTGCCAATTGTAAACCGAATTTCATGTTTTCATGTAGATTATATCTTAGGGGTGGTCTCATATAAATTTCCCTCTAATGGTAAAATGATTTATTCCGCTCTTAAGTGCAAAATTAATCAATTCATATTTACGGGTGGACTTAATTTTCCATGCATTTAAAATAATTTTAATGAGAAAATTTGAATAAGGCGTTTTATGTACAAATGATAATAATCTGAATTAAAAACATCCCTTATATAATTGTCTATTTCAACTTGTCTAGCAAATCTAAAAATAAACTACTTGTATAGCCGCCCGTTCTGTAGCACAATATCAAAACGTGGGTCACGTTGCATGGTTTATCTATGCCTGTATGTAACATATACACGCGGCGGTTAGTTCTTAATGTACTTATTTACTTTCGTCTGGGCAAATGTATAAGCGACTAGCATTGACCGCGGCTCCGCCCGCGTTCAGATGATCAAAAACCAAATTCTTAGGTTTTACATATTAGTATACTCTTTACGATGCAGTTTTTGTATTTTTTCTCAGAAATGAGATATTTTTCCGCGGTAAACCCGCGGTTGACCCGGATAACCAGCTATCATCATACCAAATTTCATCAAAATCTGTCCAGTGGTTTTCTCGTGATGCGGTAACAGACAAACAAACAGACAGACAGACAGACAGACAGACAAAAATTCTAAAAACTATAGATTCGGTCTCTGTATCGATAATAATGTTTATTTCATTAAGTTTTTCCAAAAAAATATTTAATGTACAGATTCGACTTAGTTACAATTTTATTATATGTATAGATGTTATTGTCTGTAACCAAAGCAACCATAAGACTGCTACGTATTATACATAAAATCTGCCTCGATTTCGCCTAAGTACTTATTTTAGAGTTTTGCAGAAAATTATCAATTATTTTTTTATAAATTGCATAGAAGAGCACTAAATAGTAAATACTATGACCTACTCGTAACACTATTTCCCACATACATTGTGAGATTGGAAGAGATCTCTTTTAGATAAGTCAACTTTTGTCCACGTCGCTTTTTATGTTTTTTTTTATTTCAATTGTTTAGTGCAATAAGGAATACAATTAAGTATAGACATTAGTGAAGTAATTTGTGCTCAACTGGGACGCTTTGGAGACATTAATAAGAAAATTAAATTGAATACTGAGTATGAAATACTAATTTTATATATAAACTCGCCATTTTACCCATTAGAGGTTTAATTTAGAAAGATATTTGCTCCTGTGATCCGTGTCAGTTGTTACATTGAAAAAGTTCAGACCTTTCAGTTTAGGGTTTTAAATAAATTAGGTCGGTTATTGTTAAATAAATACAACACAACCCTAGAAGTAGATAATTTATTTATTTGACAAGGAATTATGAAAATGGATTTAAGTAGAATTGATAAAGATATCTCGTAACGTGCGCAAAAAAACACTCATACTGTGATCAGTGAATCGACCAATCAAAACGGACCAAGGCTTCCCATTACATCCTGGTATTGCTATTATTGACAATTTTACTAGGCTAATTATAATTTTACTGAATGTGCTTAGGGAAATTATAAAATACCTAAAAATGCACGGTGATACTGTGAGATAAGAAGATGACTGACAATAATCCGAGTAATTATAATTTCACTAGTAAAATGATAATCTAGCGTATTTTACTATTTCCCTGCGACATAATATATAGATAAATTTAATGTTGTCAAATTTTTTTCGTATGAATAAAAGATAATTTCCTGAATTGCTTACATAATATTATCATTGTTTGGAGGTTTAAATACTAGTTTTTGTAAGTAATATTTTTATAGATCAATAATTTTAAGGTCAGTATCATTATTAATACCAATATTTAGTTTATAAACGCGTGTCGCGTGTCAGATAGTGCAACATTGTTTACAATATACACAAAACAATAATTATTATAATTATATGTTAAGCACTTTATTATGTCGCGTGATTGTGTCGAAGGGAAATTACACATACCTTCTTATCTCTTTTTATCTCCAGCGAGAAGTTCACAGTTTAAAATCATTAACTGTTATGTAATTTTCTAGGTACATAAAAAAATTCTGGAGATAACGATACCTTTATGCCATAAACGGAAAACTTTCTATCTTTTTATACCTACTTAGGGTCGGATTTAAGTGTGTGGGGTCTTAGGGCACTTGAAGAGTGTAGACGTAAAATGACATTGCAATAAAATAAAAAAAATACTTTCCAATTATACTTTAGTGGGATCCCCTCTTACGTGGGCCCTAATAATGCTACAGGCTTTCCAATTACTCATCTTCTAAAAATTGGTGTTTTTACTAATAGTGATATATACAAAACTTGAAAATGAATTGTCACCCTTACATATAGATACTTTTTCGATTAACTCAACCTCAACAGAGGCTGTATAACATTAAAAAATATAACTTATATAATAATATTAAATATTATTTTGTTTTGCCAAAAATATAATTGAAAAGATAATAAAACTTAAATTATTTTTTTATTACTTACTTGAAATACATGGGTGATATTTAACGAAGTTCGTCTTGATCTCTGCAACGCGCCTCGCAGTCTCTCTTTCCACCGGACCCTCCAACGCTTGAAACACTGACGCTCCTATAAATATATGAAATATTTATTTTTCAAGTATAACGCAGTATAGTTTATATATGTATTATTTCAAATTATAATGTAGGTACTCGGACGAGGCAATTCTACTAATGCATTGAAAAATACATAATAACATACCTAATTACTATAAAATACCTATAAATAAAAGGATAACTAAATAATTAATGTTAGTTATATTGCTAACTTAGTTTATTTTTTATTTTAATGTAGGCTTTTAATTTATTTTAGTGCAGGTATGTGTTTGAAGTTCAGTAAAGAACAATTTTTTTGTTATTGCCTTAGTTAAAAGTATTTTTTCGGATTTTCCCGCTTTTTGGGACGAAGTTATCTTATCGCGCGTTACACGCTTTGAGCGGTTGGGAGCGAGACGGAAAAAATGTAATAAGAATTTTTTCGACACTTCTTGCTAGAGTTACAACCGTATAATATGAAATATATACCTATGTACATGACCGCAAACAGCTCTCCCGCGCGCCGAAAGACTCGACGGCTGTCTTCTCTTCGGCTTTTTTAACTTTTATTTATATTATGATAGTAAATAATTAATGTTTATTTCCAAAATTAAAAATGTATTATTAATAAAATAAGATTTATACAGTTTTTAAATTCTTATTTGTTATTAACTTAATTATCCCAGATCATTTTATGTTTAAATTATCATTATTTACT